CCCCAGCCATTCTTTCCTTCCCACCCACAGCATGGGGAGACAAAACATGGAGTTTTTAGTTAGCTTGTCACTTCTAAAAATTTTCCTCAGTTGGCTTAGGGAGAGGAGTCTCTTTTGCTATGCCATGGGGTCCTTCTCACAGGAGACAGTTCTCTGTGAGCTTTTCTAACGTGGCTCTAATTTTCACGAGTAGCAGTTCCACCCAAGCTGGCTGCTGGGTGCCAAGGGGAAGGGTTTGAGCAGTTCATCTCCCAGGAGCTGTACATCACCTTCACAAGACAGCCTCCTAGAGACAGGAAAAGGATGCCCAGCAAGAGCGTGTAACAGGAGTTTTGGACACTTCACACACCCACGGCTTCTGCAGTGGGACTGTGAGAACAGCACATCTGGGCAGAGCTTGCAACCTTCAGCCATTCCTTCAGATAGAGAATAAGAGAGAGGAAAGGGTCTTAGATGATCTGGGACAGTGGAGTGACTCCAGGCCATCCATTTGAAGACTGATGAGCTACCAAAATCTGTTAAATAATGCATTCCATTCCAGTTTGGCTTGACTTCAATAGCCAAAAAAATCTTCTGCACCACTGGGTGTGTGAAACTACCCATTAGCTGATCAGATCTGAATTTAGCAACATTGAAGAAACTCATCACGAGGGCCAGATTTGTCATGGTACCTCAGTTAAGGAAGCTGGAAAACCCTACTTGCTGAAATGTATTCATCTGCATCTAGACCAAGTACTGAATAGAGTATAAGCATAGAAAACTGGCTTTGTGGAAAGTCTGAGCTTGTGTTAAAACAGAAGGAGGAAAAAAATATGTCAATTAGGGATTATGAGAAACAGAGGTGGTTACAATCCACATAAAGCTGATCTAAATATGAAATATAAAAAGCTGCTCACTTGCCACTGCAGGTTCTGGGGGATCCACTGGGGATATCTTGCAATACTTGCTGCTCAATCTTAAGATCGAGCTTCTTGAGACAGGAAATAATTCTTGAGCCAGTGTAAGAATTTCGAATAGTTAAAATGTGGGCAAATCCCAACAAAAAGTACCCCCTGTGACCTGAAGGACATACAAAAGGAACCATAACAATCACTGTTGTGACAGAGTGCCAGCGCTGGGAGTGCAGATGCTGCTGCTCCTGAAAGGATGGGTCTGTCCCAGAATGTTCTCCAGAGGCAGAGTCACTGTCACTGGTACAACACAGGGAAACCAGCTCTGCCTGACCAAGCTCCAGGAAGGGACACTCAAGCATCATCCATACATTCCTTAGACACCACACATGGACTCCATCCACACTTACAGACCTGCCAGGGTGGGCTCTCTCTGATGTCTTTTGAAATTTGTGCTTCTGAAAGATGGAAAAGGAATGGCAAAAACCATCACTCTGCATGTTCAGTGGGTTGCATCTGCAAAAAAGATACTGAATTTGATGAAGGATTCCCTGTCATCCTGAGACAAGTTCCTTTTTGGTGTTTGTAAGGTGACACACCATCAATTACTCTTACAAGTGATGCATTTGCCCTGAAATCCTAAGGCTCAGGCTATAAACTAAGGAATGAAGAAACTTAATTAATAATCTAAGAAATTAACAATCCTAGCAATGAAAACTTCTACATCAGTCATAATATCAACATTTTTCCTTTTTCATCTGCTATGAATACAATACACATCTGACAACATGCATTTGTAAGCAAGACAGATAATACTAGCAGGCATTGAAATTCCTCATGTAAATTTGTGTTAACCAGAGCTACAAACACTCAGCAGAGGATGTCTGTTTCACAGCATCTGATGTTTATCCATGTTTGGGAGACTATTTTAAGAAAGCTGAAGTCAGAGTAAGGTTATTTCACAAACATTTCAACGCGTTGTTTCTCGCAAAGCCCGAGTAATTAGTGCTGAAAATTGAGTTAAAAATACAAAATATAACTTAAATTTCTACAAGTTATTCAAGACCATGTATTTAATAACTGAGTCTGAGAGGAATGAATAAAAGAGATTTAGGATCCAACCTTGTGCTATATTTTCTCCCTATTGCTTTCAAAAGTAATGAGTGAAGTTTAGTAAATTATATAAATGAAGATTGATGGTTTTGTCTACACAGTAATAGAACAAGAATGTAGTTCATGTTATATTAAGGAATGTGCATTGTGTTTGGAAGGAGGAGAACCCTCTGTAAATTTTTACTGGAGTGATCTAAATATTTCCTTTTTTACAGGAAAAAAATACTAGATAGTATGAGATACACAACACCATGAAAATTAGCACTCAAACTCGAGAGAAATAAATAGGTTCTAAATTGTGCAATAACCCTCCATGAATCAAGCCACGGATCAAGAGCCACTTTAAGCACTCCTCAGAATTAATGGTAACCCTATTAACCAACATGTTTTAATCCACTCTCTTGGGGTGATCTTTTGATGATACTCTATTCCTGATCACCTGTGGCTGTGTAGCTTTGAGGTGGATCTGGGAGAGGGGCAGGAGCCTGGGGAGCTCAGCATGGGCTTTGTTCAAAGACCCTCTCTGGAGTGTGCTTGTCCAGTGCAGACCAGACATTATTTTGTTGCCTAGCTAGGTTAGTTTTTTTTCTAGGTTAAAAGAAGGCTTTTTACCCTTCCCCTGGCCTGGAGGCTGCAGCAGCATCTTCCTGGTGACTTCTGCTTTGTTTTTTCTTGAACTATTTGTCTTGGTTATGGTCCAAAATCAGAAAATCACTGAGGCTGACCAGGACCTGCAGGGGGACCGTCGAGGGCTGCTCCAGCCAGCCTGAAACCTTGGGAAAAGCTGAACCAACAAGGGAAAGGACACCAAAATCCAACAGCTTCGTCTGCTGTGAGGAGGAGACCAATGCCAGAAATTCAACAGGTTCTCATCTCTTTTGCCTCAGCTGCTGCATAAACTCCCTTTTTCCCTTCCCTGACACAAAGGGAAGGCCACCATTCTGCCTTCCCTGCCAGTGCACTTCCTTCCCTGGGCATTTGGGGGTTTTTTGGGTTTCTTTTTGTTCTGATGGATAGTGGGGTAGGATGGGATGGGATGGGATGGGATGGGATGGGATGGGATGGGATGCAGGGGTAAGGTTCTGAAAGTTCAATATCTAACATTTATTCAGTTCTTTTCCTGTGCTGTGCGGGCACTTTGGTCTGTCAATAAAGAGATTTTTTTCACTTTCACCCACTGGCATTCATGTTTCTCATTGGCAAAAGGGATTAATGAGGCCCTTCTCTTTAGAGGGAACACTGATTCCAGAGTGTTTTCTCCTAAATTTGTCTCTGAATCGAGACATTCACTGTAAAGATGAGTACAATAAACCTTTCACAGACACGTCAAAACACCCTATTCAGAGGAAGCCCTTAAGGAGCTGAACTTCATAAAGGAAGCAAACATTTGGATTGTTACCAGATGATAAATTGTCTACACCTGGTGTGCTTGTTCTACCAAATCCACTGTCCTAGGGAGCTGCACGATGCCCATTGTGTAAGAACTGGAAGCTCACCAGCCCCAGTGCCCTGCCAGCTGGAGCATGCCAGCTGTTTCACTGGGGTCTGCAACCATTCAGGACCACCAGAGAGACCTCCAGGACAACAAAAATCTGTGTACAGGGGAGGAAAAACATGTTAATGATTTTGGGAAAACGATTATCATATTCTGGGGCAATCGATGGATATGTATGAAAATACAGTACATAAACAGGAACTTTCCTGTACTCAGCATGGATTTGGGAGGAGGTATTCATTCCCCCATGCATCCAGCCAAAGAAAAATTCCTGCTTCTTAACACTACATGGATCTGAAGGCTTTTTTTTTATTTTACAGAATTTTTGGTAATAGGATCACATAAAAAAAAAAGTCACACAACAAATGCATGACCCCAATGCATTTCTCAATGCAGCCCTCTGAAAATTAGCTCCATCATTTGCAATAAGAAATCCATTTTTTAGAAAGTAAAACTGATCCACCTACCATAACATCAAATCATGGTGCTTAAAATAGTCCTTCAGTACAGAATCCCATGGAGGGGGACACCACCTTCATTCCACCCATTGTAGCATAAATTTAATTGTTTAACTGAGGCTGATGTTCCACACTCCTGGACTATTCTGCAGACCACAAAATTTTTTGAAAATGGAAATACGTTTCTCAAGGTTTGGTTTATGTTTTAAGCAAAAGCCCTTCATTCATCCTGAGGGTAATTTATTACACACATGCTGGCAAATTCCACTTTTGCATTTACTGATAAAAGAGATCTGGCACCTTTTATTCTGTGTGCAAACAGATCTTTTTAGCATAGGATTCCCCAGAAATAATTACCAGGTAGGGCTGCATCTCCCAGACATGCTGTTACTGTCCAGTTTTTAAAGTTATTGGAAAATTAAGGTGCAAATGAGACAATATGCCAAAATCAATAGTATGGATTTTATTTAGTAGGGAATGTGAGAGAGAGGGAAAAGAAAAAAAAAAGGAAGAGAAAGAAACAGAAAAGAGGTGGGGGAACAGAAAGAGAGTGATGGAGACAGAATAAAGAAAGTATCACCAGATACCACCAGAGTCCCAATGACCCTTTCCAGCTGATCTTGGTGGTGAAGGTCCCAAAAAATGCATTGGATTAACATATGCTCAGGCCACATGGAAATGCCCAGGTAGGAGGAAATTAAAAGTGAATAAAAATTAAGTGTCCCAGGGCTTTTAATATAAAAATGTTACCCTTAAAATATTTTAGATGAGTTTGCCTATCTTGAATAAACAGGTATTAGGGTAATATTTTGGGTAATATAATGCTTTAAATAAACATTTCACAAAATGTTAGAAAAATATTTTCTCCTGCCTAAGCAATTTATCTTTCTACTTCACTAAATTAAAGAATAGGTCAAATTACCAAAACCTAATTTGTAGCACTGAGATCACAGTGAGTAATCTCACTTAATGAAGCTGTAATCAATGTCTGAGCAACTCCATCATTAGTATCATTACATTATATATTTATGCATGACGAACACTTCACCAAAAACAATCTTCAATGGCAAAATTTTCATATGCTGATTTATAACTCCAGAGTTTTCCAGATTTCTGTTTAAATAATTTTTCACATTTTAACAACAAGAGCAGCTAAAATGGATAGAGGATGTTTTAGCAGTTGTTAGAGTGGAAATTACAGCAGCTTTCTTCAGGAGCACTTCTGCCTGCACCATTCCACAGTGATTATGAGACCATAGGATACAGCCTATCCTTTTACAAAATATTCCACTTGTGAGCTCCACTGGAAGCAACAGAGGAAATCTCAATGACAGCAGTTAAAACATGGCCAAATAATAAAATAAAACCATGAAACAGAGGTCTCCACTGCCACCTCTGGAAACAGCTCTTTTCACGTGGCTCCTATGACACATCAGCAATAACTTCAAGTCACTTAGCCACTGGAGGAACTCCTCAGATATTAAATAATATGTGATGTCTCAGTGCACTAAGAAAACTCGTAACCCTTTTCTTCCTACTACTGGAAGGCAGCAGTTCTGTCCTTACTATTCATCAAGTACCTGTCACACTTGTTTCACCTAGTGGCACCTGCAAAGACTTGGTCCAAAGCCTCTAGAACCACTTTTCTAGAGCTTGTAAACCCTTAAGTCTCCCTTTACCACTTCAGAGTAGGAGTAATAATTTGTTTTATATCATAAGATGGATGAGAAGGGAGGAAGGAAGGGAGACAAAGCAAGGCATGGCAATGCAAGGAAGGCAAGGCAAGGCAAACCAGACAGTTTCTTTCATAAGTTCTGTTACTAAAATATTCAATAACCTGGTCCAGGTCAAAAAAAAAGTCACAGCAGTCCCCTAGATTTATGGCAAACTAATTAAATGTCTTTTCTCATTAACCTCAGACACAACAGGTAGTTGTGTATTTCATAAGATTCAGTTTTATGTAGTGATAGAGATACAAAGCAATGTTTCATAATCTCAAATATATCTATATATAATTATCATTATATTATATTATATATTATATAATTATTTTAATATCAGAAGCTATACTCTGTCTATTCATGTAAAATTAAATTGTGTCCTATAGATATGCACTTAATATCAGTGGTCTTCATGTAGGTAAATGTTAAACAAAGGCTTACAAGGTATAGAAAACTGTTTAATAGCCAGATCCCACCTATACACCACTGGTGTGTGTGAGAGAGAAACAAATGTACACACATAATTTCACTTATAAAAGAGCATAAGAAAGATCAGCTTTTGTTGTTGCCTAGAAGTAACTTGATGTAACTGCCTTTATTTTTACAGCATGTATGATCACAAAGCTTTATGAGAATACACATGTTCAGCATCTTTTGAAATGATAAACAAGTGATGCCTTTATAAGTTCACAATATGAAGCTTTGATGTCTACAGCCATAAGGTCCCATGGAGCTACAGAATACAGCCTGTGAAGTGCTTATGTGGTTTTTCTGTCTGTGGCCTGTACACAGTCTTCATGCTCGTGTACAAGCCACTGAAACATGTTTTTGCTCCTTCAGACTCACATGAAAGACATCAATCACATATGGAAAATGAAGGCTTTAAAAATCAGGCAGAACTCTGTCACCAGAGTTGAGCTCCTCCATACAAATTCCACAGTTTAGCTGTCTACAATTAAGCAATGTTTCAAGTCCACATAAAATTGTAAAACCTAAAAGGATGATTGGCAAAGGGGAGTGGAAGTCAGCTCTCCTTTATTTCCAAACAGATGATGCATAAGTAAATATTGTGATAATTCATGTGTTACAAATTTTGCATGTATATTTACATGGAAGTTGCTGCTAGTGGCATGTGACATAATCCAATTATGGAGATGCCAAGCTTGTACCAAACACTTTCATTCTCCAGTGTTCTGTGTGGAAAGGAGCAGACTGTGATACCAAGATCTAGCTCTGGACTAATTGAGATCTTTAGCCAAATCCTATTTTATTTGAGAAAAAGCATTGACTGCCACATCCATCCAGCTGCCACAATGATTGCATACAAGCAGAACTTCTAACTGGGAAGAACCTTTCCAAGAAAACAGAACTTCTCAGTACTTGCCTGAGAAAGAAAACAGACACTTGATAGTCCAATTTTGTTACCAGAGCTGTTCTTTATCCTTCAGAGTCTTCTCCTGCATCCCTACTTAGGCAGTAATTTACTCAAAGAACAACTTCAGAGGATGAAGCAACAAAGTTTATTACAGCTGATGGCTGTCCCAGAAAAGGCAGAACCAAAGAAAACCTCAAATCAAAACAGAATCCTCCTGTGTAACAAAAAAGCTGTTTCTTTTAAGAGGTGTGGAGCTGCTTTGCACCTGCTGCTCTGGGTGGAAGTGGCACTCTTGTGGACTGACACAAATGTTATATAAACTAAGCCTAAATAATGCAATACGGCTGTACACTTGTATCTATTGATGTCAGTAACCATAGCTAGCCCAAACAGGTTGCAGTCAGATGTTAACCTTGTGCAGTGGAAATCTAAAATCACGTTATTATAACAGATGATGTTAAAAACAAAAGCAATGGTGAATGGTGAATAAGCGCCCTCTTAAGGGCAGTAGGTACGAACAACATTCCTTCAATGCACTTGCATAACTTTGAAGTTCAATTCTCAACATTTCATCACACTAAAATGGCAGCTACTAACATTTTCCCCCATCACAATATTCTAAAAGTGCTGTGAAATACTTTGAAATGCTGGAGTCCCAGTCATTTCTATTTCTAAACAGAAATATCGTTCACTGGGTGTACTGAGTTGGCATAAAGTTACACAAAACTATTTATTCCAGTGTATTAAATACTCACCTGTTCCTTTCCCTAATGGGAATTAATACCAGGATGTTTTTACCTATATGGGATAGGAGGGGAATAAGTAGAAGAAGAATAAATGCATAAGTTTAGTCTTTGGTTGCAGTAAACCAAAATAAAAATAAGAGACCTTCCTAAATATCCATATTTCAGACATTGTTGTTCTCCTGATCACCCCTGCCTGTAAGAGAAAAAATCAAAGTGCCATTTTGAGGTTCTAATCAGTGCCAAAGGAACATATGTCAGGCATGAAATTGGCTTTGGAAGCCATAGCAAGAGACATATAGGTAAAGACCTACGTAGCACTCCAAGAAAAGGCTTGACCTTGCCACATGGGATTGTTTGGGAGAATTCTCACAAGTTTAGCTTGTTGTGGAAGGAAGGCAGAACAGCAGCCTCACTTTTCCTTCTGACACTGCAGAGCTGGCTGCAGAAAGCAGGTTTAGGTCTTTGCCACCTTCTCCCGTGATCACAGAGTGGCCCTTCCAGGCTCCAAATGGAATGTGTATGAGATGAAGAATCTCCTCTCCTTTGGCAGGATGTCCTAAAAGTTCATTTCCAAATCTTAGGTCAGTGAAGTGAGCATTTCAACATGCCTGTTCTCGCTTACAGTAGTGCTGCATGAACAGGTAACCAGGATACAGGCAGATTTTATAGTCACATGCATTCATTTAAAACTAGCTCAAAACCAAGAAAGCAACTTCTTCAGAGAGTTTTCCTTCTATCAGGCCCCAAAATCCAAGTCAGCTCTATTCTTCACATCTTTCATCAAGTCAGCTAACATTACATGGGCATCAAGGATCTTCTTAGGCACTGTTCTCACATGGCTTAAGTAGGGTCAAAAAGAGTAGATAAAAGCAAGACTGTCTGTTAGGAGACACCTAAAAACAGCTGAAATCCTTACTTTGGACATTTATAGACAAAAGCTTGCTTTTGGGGTGTTCTTTCCAACAGTGTGCAGAGTTAGACATCAGAAAGAGTTGCAGTCCTAGGAAAAAACACAACCTGCTATGGACAAAAGAAAACTGAACCTTTTCTAGCCTGCTTCTGAAAACAATTCTTTATAAATTTTCTTCAGTTTCACACACAAAGCACAAGAGCAATGGGAGACAGAAGAAACAACTGGAAGGAGCCTATCTTAAGGTTGACAGTAGTATTCCACCAAGGGGTTTTTTACCTTTTTTCTCCTGTCTGTTTAAGATTTTGAACACTGGTTCCATAACAGGAGATTGCAATATTTGCTACGTTTGCACAGCACTACACTTTTAAATTAACACTCCTGGCTCTCCATTATTTCAGAGGACCAGGGGTGAGAATAACTAAAATATTGTTTCCCATTTTTCACTTCAAGAATCCTTTCAGGGGAAACCTGGCAGCAAATGAAAGATGATATGAGAGCACAGAATTCCCAAACCACAGACTGAGGCACAGCACCTACACACGCTGCCTTCCATTGTTAGCTGCCTGCAATTCCTCAGACTCTGCAGACTGGGTAAGAAATTGTCAGGTGTGTTACATAAACTTTTTTAAATTCTTTGATGAATTATTTTTCATAGGAGCATACATCCTTTTAAGGAACCCATGTGGATCAGATGAGTAATCATCAGCAGTGACACCACACTGATGGAAATTGATGTTTCACGGATTTAAAACGAATCAGTTATAGAATCGCTGTGGAAATACTAAATGTTATCCTCCCATAGCTGTTGTCACTTTTAAGAACAATTGTTATTGAACATAGCTTTTGAAGAATTGTCTTAATTTAGCCAATTGTCACAGGACATCTTCACAATGTAGTAACTAACTCCCCCTCTGATATGTTCCTACCACTGCTAGTAACAGCCCACAAATGTTGTACTGGGTTTGTAGGACTGAGACTTACCAGCCTTCCTCTATCTGAATCTACCTTAACCTGCTTGAAATTTAATTTTAGCTTAATTTAGTTCCCTGGAACAAGATTTTTTTTTCCCCTAATTGACTAGGTGTCTATGGCTAATTAATTTTACATCTGTGTATCTTTGTATGGCACCACTGTGGTTCCACGACTAACAAAATGTGGTAGAGAGAAACACAGCCTGATAGGACACAGGCTGGGGAAGCTCAGTTACAGGATGGAGTCTGGAAAACCAGGCACAGTATGAAAGATGGGGCACAGGCTTGGCACTAGGAAATCCACAGCTATAAACAGTTAAAGAAATACAGAACAAACATGGAAAAATCTTTGCTTATAAATAACAAAGAAATATTACCCAGCATAAGGAAGATGGCCACATAAATCAGATTTGAATGTAAAACAGGGCTGCAAAACACTGAAGAAAAAGTGTTGCAGAGAGATAAAAAAGAAACCAAGCATTTCCTGGGGTAAGAAGTATAACTTAGGGTAAGGATGGAACCTGGGGGGAAGGACTCCAGATGCTAAGAGCTCATCTCAACAGCCCTCACCAACACTAGAGAGGAACCACAGGACTTGAGGGAATGGTAGAGCTGTGGCAGTGCAGCTGGCAGGTAGAAGACTGTTTTGTGTATTTGAGATGTCACTACTGCCATGCAAATATACCCAGACAGAAGTTAGGCCAAGGGGATTTCTAAGGAAACACAGCATTGCACTGAGCAGCACACACCCAGGGTGAGTTCAGCAGAGTAATTCATTTAGTGCCACATCTCACTGACCTGAGATTTTAAATAATAAAGCAAGAAGGTTCTTTAATGGACCATAACTGAAACTGCCCAGAAAGGAGAGTCCACCTGGTGTTATTGTGTCACACACATATCTCCATCAATACCCAAAAGACAAGTTACTTTTCAGCAAAAGTCATTCATGAGTTTAACTAAAAATTCTCTCTTTAGACTTGCACATAGCTATTTCTAATTATGTGCAAGGCTTTTTTTCTGTTCAGATTAGACACTCCCATACATGTAAGGTTTATCTTACCAAGTGTTGGGATGATCAGGGTAATACAGAGAGGTGGGGGCCTGTGGCAGGAAGGGAGTTCTTTCCATCATATGGCTGCAATGAAAGAAATTGGGAAGAGATAGAAGTAGAGGAGACATTGATAGCTTTGCACCTTTTCTGCCAGGTGTTTGTGACAGCTCTGAATTTACACTGACACTAAAATTAGCACTCCAAGTCTCTTTTGACTGAAATATTCAAGTTCTTTACAAATCCATTACAGTTGTTCTAACATAAAACATATTGTTTAATGTAAAAACAGGATTAATTGGTTTATCTAAGACTGTACACCCAGTTTCTTAATTTAATTTCCCAGGAAGAGCTAGAACTGGAAAGGTCTAAAGGAAGATAGAAATCCTTTTTATAGAAAACCATGAAGAGTAATTTTTGAGAGCAAAAGTGTGCAGCTTGTGCCTTCACAAGGTAAACCACCACAGTTTTGTTAAGTACCTCTTAAAAACAATGTATTAATTACCATTACAGTCATAGCTGTGTCCATTTCTCAGACAGATACACATTTATTGCTTTAATTCTAATTAAGTGTTGTACTTCTGAACATGTACTTCTGTCAGCATTACTGACAGCCTACGTTTAGCCATTTCACAATTACATTCATAAAGAAAATACGTTTAGGAGATGGAAGTGAAGACATGAAAGGCAGCTGAAAAAGCAGTAAGGGTGAGTGACAAATGGACAAGTTTTCTCTGAATACATTCACTCCTATTTCTGCTCAAATTTGTTCTATGATATGACATTCTCTCTTACTCTCCCACATCTGCATTTGCATTTCACACACACACGTCTGACCAGCAGGAGCTGGGGAAGAGAAATACTCTTATAGACAGTAATGTGCAAACCTAACCTTTTCTCCAATTGGATAATGTCTTCTAAGATATTCAGAGCCTCATTTTTTATTTTTTTTTTCTCAGTTACAAGAATGTAAATCATGATGAGTTTCTTCTGAGATGGGAAAAATGGTGTTCTCAGTCTTTATGCCTTCTGTTGGTTTATTGCCCGAAAGCACACACATCCTTTTGCTGAGAGGTGAGACATTTTTCTCTCTGGCACGTTGTCAGAAGGATCCAAGGTGAACTAGCCTCCTTAATTAAGCTACTGGGGAGGATCCAGCAGACATTGGCTGTAAGAATTGATGTGTCCAGTCCTGGAATCACCAGCAGGATGACCAGCAGCTGAACTATGGCTTGCTCTTATAGGTGGTACAGCACACTGCAATATTGCTGTGCAAGGAAACCTTCTCATGAGGATCTGCACTCTTCAAGCCAGCTCTTGGGTCCCAAAAGCAGCAGAAAATTAAAGATTTCTGTGAGCTGATGGCAGTTACCCTCCAAGTCAACTGCACTGCTTAAACATGAAAGTTCAGCCTTATAATCACCAGCTATAAAAACTAAATTAGCATGATGTTTTCAAACAAATATCTCACGGTTTTCACTTGGGAGGAGGCCACCTTCTGGCTATAAATCAATGGCCCACTAATAAGTGGCTTGGGAACAGCATGTAAGAATATGGAAAAGCTCTCTTGCCAGAATTCAGAAGTAATTTTAACCTAGGAAAAAAAAAAAGGAGTTCTGAAAGTGTTCCAAGTAATTCAAAGAAATCCATCAAAACAGCATTTTCAGTCAAGCATACAACAAAATCTAATATATAGGAAACCAATGTTCCCAGTTAGATACAGCAAGTGTTGCATAGCTTTGTTGAGGAGAAATGAAAGATTTTGTGGAAGCAGACATAAACTACTGAAAAATGCAGCATGGCCCACAAGCTTGAAGAATATTAAACATTAAAGCATTTTAGGGCATTGGCAAGTGAAGATGGATTTAATCAAAATAATATTTACATATGAATTACATAGCTCATGCACATTTATAGCCATCCATGAAAAATTAAATTAATTTGCAATGCAAACCAACTGGGGCAGCTAGTGAATGCCAATGAATGATGAATACCACTAATGACAGAACTGTATTTAATTGGTTTTAATAAAGCATATTAATTTTTTCAGTAAAATGTTATTGTGCATTATAAAGATTTTCTAAAGTCACTGTGCTGCTGGTGAAGTGTCCAGTACAGGAATCCACCAGAGCAGGTTGTGATGTTTCCATTTCCTCGTATACACAAGGATTAGCCCAACCATCAAAGAAAGGAACTTGGGAAATGTGGTTAAAAACACATAGGGGCTGGGAAAAACACAATACACTTTGTTGTAGCTTGTTTGTACCTGCAGGGCATGAAGGCAGTGACCTCTAGGAGCACTCAGTGACTGCACACCCAGGCTTTGATGGCACAGAAGAGTCAGTCAATGACTGAACCTCTGAGCAGCTTCCCAGCCCGTTTGATGGTAGCACTCAGCTCAGAAGGCCAGGCTAAACCCAGTCCCACAGAAACCTGACAGGCAGGGCTCAGTGTAAAGATGTAAAGGCCTCATCAGCAGGTTCTTTCATCTACTGTTTGCTTCACTGCTGGTGCACTGAATTACTGGGACACACAGATACAGCCTAAAAGCAAGAGGCAAAGAAAATGAGTCCTCAAGCTGCTTCTTGTGTGTTGAAATGATACATAAAAGCCTTAAAAGCTGGTTATTGAGACCAGTGCTAGTAAGACCCCACAAAGAGACCAAAAGTTGCACAGTTCATGAAACAATGAGCAGGCAAATGTCTTCAGATGTATTTGTTCAGAATAGTACCCTTTTTCTTTTTTTTTTCTTTTTCTTTTTCTTTTTTTTTTTCTTTTTTTTTTTTTTGTTAACCCAAATCTCAGCATGGTCCCACTTGCTCTCCAAACCCCAAAACACACATGAGTAATTCAGCACACCTAGAACACCCCTGTTGCAAATTGTGTTCCAAGCAATGTGGAGTGATGGCTGCTGTCTTTGTTTAAGATGATTTGTGGGGGTGGACATTCTAAAATGAGTTACCTCCCCTTAGTTTCAGCCAATCTCTCTCCACCAATAAAGAGAAAATGATTATGAGCAAAATGAAAAAAAAACCAAAACAATTTATTAACAGGTGAAAAATAACAAATAATCACTAGATACAAAATTACCAAGTCCCAAGATCATTCTTTCTCTAAGGTTTATTCTAAGACTAATACAATAAAAATAAATATATTCATTGAACATCAGGCCATAGTTCACATTTTTCATATTATAAAAGGGGGAACTAACAGAGACCTGTGGTAGTCTAACAATTAATTAACAGATTAGAGTTTTCAAGTCACAGCCCTCAGATTGAAACATTTCAGATCAAATCTGTCTTGAGGAATGCTTCCCAAACAAAAGAAAGTTAAAGACACAGCCCCAATATGGTGTCAAATTTTGACCCTCTTTATATTTGGTCATGAAATGCTTTCTGGACATTTTTATAGAAAGGAACTGGTATGTTCAAGGCAATAAAAACTAAGACTTGAAGAGCAGCTAAGGAAAAGAACTGACCACACCAAGCTCTTGAATGACACAAATGTGCCTAAGTTTCAGCTCTACCTGTCCAGAAAATATTTCATATTGTAACTTGAGTGAAATATCACTCAAAATCATTTAAAACACCTTCTCCCTATAGGTAATTATACCTTTCTGTGATGTGCAGTGGTTAGGATTCACAAGAGCAGATCATGAAATTCTCATTTCTACAGTCTGCCATCTGGAAGCTTGTAATATCACACACCTCCATTCCTTTTGGTTAGGAGACCCAATAATGCTTTACTGCCATCTGTTGTTTTGGGTCTCCTCATGACTCATGATCCTGTCAGAGCGCCACTTTGCTGCTCCTGTTTATGCTGGGGGATGATCAGCAAGCTCTGGCATTGCTGTGTGTGGAGCTGCACGTCCTGTGATATCCAAGACAGCTCGTCCTTCCAGAGTCCCTTCTCAGAGCAGTGCAGAAGATTATAAATAGGGTGTGTGACAGCAAAATGAAATACGATCCTTCGCGGTAAATTACGCGTGAACTTGATTATACCGGCTCCATTCATCCATGGTTATTAAAAGTTGCAAGAAAGTTGCTGTGAAGCCTTGTTTGTCCAACCCTAGAACATTAAAGAAGAAATACAACACTGTTGTTGTAGTGCATTAAATACTGTAATTTAATTCAGGTTGTGTTAATAAAGAAAAGTACTTAACAGCAGATATGATGATTTTGTCACAGCCCTCTTTGGGCAAGTGAAGTACCACTCAAAATGATGATTACATTTGTTCTGGTCTAAAAAAAAATAAACATAAGCTTGGCTGAGGCAAAACAGGTAAAAGTGCAAGGAGGGTTTAATATTTCTTATGAATCTATTGATAGAAACATTATTGCTGTAACAACAGGATATCAGAAGGATGGGGGGAAGAGCCAGCAACACATAACTTTAATAACTAGAAAGATCTAGTTTCAGATTTTCTCATTACATGCTAAAGCTCATTTACCACAGGTAAGTAAGAACAGACTTTATGCAAACACGCAAAATATATTTCAAACCACAAAATAAATATTTTTCTTTGCTACAGTCACCTCTGACGTGCAAATACTTCAGAAAATGTTAGTCATGATAGCACCCTTGTGAGGCGAGGGGCTTTAACACAGCTGTTTGCCAGCAGGGTAACTCAGAGAGCAGTGCCTCAAATTAAACTGCCTCAAGTCATATTTAGAAGCCTTCCACAGAATCAGGACTGCATTTCCTGACTGACATACCCCTGTGTGACCTTACCTTCTGGATCTGTCTTTCCACCAGTGCTTAACAGATGCTCAGCCCCTTCCCCACCTTTCAGAAAAGGGTCAGACATGGATATTTTGGTAACAGAGGAAGCTCTGTGCAGAATAACTAGTGTAATGAGCATAAAGGATTCCTCTGCTGTTTGTTCCAATTACAAAGCAGGCTCCCCAGGTTCCAGTTAAAAACAGAGCTTTTCCTCATTTGCACAAGCTGTACTTATAGAGAAGAGCATGTCTGGAATGGTATCTCTCTTTAAAGGAAAAATGGTCTCCAAAATGATAAAACAGATTTATCATCTGCATGACACTGCCTGGAAGAATTAGCCCTCAGGCCAAACATTGCCAAACTACTAGCTAATGTAGTTTTTCTTTTTTTTCCTTTCCCTCCCTTTAGAGTATTCCTCTAAGGGCTGAGTTACCACAGTTCTTTATTTCCCTGCAGTTCCTAAATGTTATTCTTATTCCTTGGGCACATCTGGCTGAGAGCCCCACAACTTGCTTCCTAACAGGTTTCAGCCTAGCCTATCTGAAACAGGATAGATTCTTATAAAGTCTCTATAACTGATTTATGAAGTTTTACATATTTCATGGAAGGCTGATTTTTAGCTATGACTTTTATCAGCCTTCTTCCCTCAAATATGTTTAGGATGTCACAAGGATTTCAGCATGCTGTAGGCCTCTTTTGAATATTCTTAATGACCAATAGAAGATTTATTTTCTGCACATCTGTCTTGTGGTCCTGAAACTAACTCCCAGAGAATGTTTAAGGTAACTTCATCATGCATTTCTGTTGCTAGCACAGATGGGGAATAGGACACTATTTGCAAGTAGCAAAATCTGGAGTTAATAGTGCCTTTTAACTCTACTATTCTACTTCTTTAAGATGCCTTTAGGGAGAAGTATTAGTGAGTGCCATGGCACATAGCTCCCAGATGCTTTTCTGCTCACATTCCCTCTTCCCATCAGAGCCATGTGCAGAGTCAAATTCCTGCTCCTCAGGTGTTTTGCCCCATGTCTCCCATCTCTTTGCAAATGTGCCACTCTACAAGGCTTTACAAGTAGAGAGGGGGACCACAATACCTTTTCTAGGAGGATTTATGTTGTGGTGCCTCCCTTCAAAAAGATATTCTCTGTGACCAGCTTTTCTCCCCTTGAATACCAGTTTGGGTCTCTCAAGATCAAGTGGCCAGAGCTACCCCTTGACTAGCAGACAATCAGTACAGCACTACCAAAATCATGGCACACAGGTTCATTTACAGGAACAGACCTTTCCCTGAACCTTTCTCTCTGCACAGCAAGCAAGGGCAATGGCACAGAACACCATGGCCCCTCACTGTATTCAGCTCACCCTGAGCGTAAGCCTTCAGATCATAGCCTTCAGTTCGATAATAGGACCGAGTACTTTGTCCAACAGGGAAAAAGAAGAAAGAAAAAAATTACAAAATTGAAAAAAACCACTTTCCTGACTTGAAAGAAATTCTACCTAACAATTCCTAAAGGAATGTTTTCTCCTGTAAATGGCAGCAAGTCATTAACTTCTTAATTTCCCATGTCATTTACTAGGTGAATCTAGTCACTCTCTCCATTATGCTCTAGCATTACTTCACTAGTTACATTTCCTCAAAATAGGGGAGTGCTAAATCCTCTTCTTCCCTTGGTGAGATATCATTGAGAATCTCTAAGGGTAGGTATAACTATCCAATCTCTTTGAAAATTTGAATGATCCAACTGTTTTTGCAATACTTTTGTGCTCACTGAGACTCGCTCAAGGTCACAGAACAATGTATTGCTATAACCAGCATGGCTTCTCTTCTCTAGACCCCTTCTCCAAAGACTTTAGAGTCCCAGCTTCAGTGTTTCTCTTTGTCACTTCTAAAAGTACACTGATTTTTGGCCTTCTCTTTTCCCTCCATGTCAAATTTATCCCAGTGTAGTTTTCTTAGCTGTTGCTACTGCACTTGAACTTACAGCACCTGCATTCCTTTTTTTCTTAGTGATGACCAATACCACCAAGGGCCTGTGATAGGACAGGTGTAATGCCAGAGCCTAAGTGTTTTTGTCTGCCTAGATTTCCAATTATTTTTTAATTGGAAGTTTATGGAGCACTGAGGTGCTTCCTTCCCACTGGATTCTGGGATTCTTTGGAAATTGCCATACATGTATTTGCCAATGTGCTAAAGTAAACAAGTTGTACTTGGAAAATAGACTTTTGTTCAATGGAAAGGTCCCATTCAAATCCTTTGCAGCAGGAACCCAAGTCCAAGGACAGCAAATTGTTTATCCCTTGCTCCTTTTTCTTATGCAACATTATCCTGGAAGAACACGCACATATTGGCCAGCAACATCGGCCCTGGATCTCAGGCACAGCATGTTCCCTCTGTAGAGAACACCCTTCTCCTGACCCTGATAAATGATTACAGAGCAGCTCTGATTCAACACTGACTTTCCTGCACTGCATCATTAAGCTGAAAAAACACAATAAAAGTCTCTCTGCCATTGTCTACAGCTCTCAGCATTCTCCACCCTGATAAAAACTAGTTTTGTGCTTAAAATTATCTCTGTGCTTCAGAAAGGCAGCACACTGGGTGCTTTATTCTCTTTGGCAGAGTCACTTTTATGTAGAAACTGTATACATCCCCAGACAAAGAAGCTCTTGCTGTTAAGTACCCAATCTTGGGAGATTTATGCTTTTCCAGAGCAATTATCCACCTTTGTTTCATGCAGCAGTGGCTGAAGTTCCCAACAGAACCCCATCATAATCCAGAACAATTAAGTCACACATCCTTATTATGGTTTTGTACCCTCACTACCATGACTGCATCTAAACATACTGGCTTTCTGAAAAATATTCTACAAAATATCCTGCTGTGTATAGAGGGAAGTTAACCATCCTTTATTACACAGAAACACTGAGCAATTGCTACTCTCTTCCAGAGTCTCCCCAAGTGCAGCCCATAAATAGTGCATTTCCTACTTGAGGAATACAATAGATCCTAAGCTTCTGCACATGAACTCTCCACGTTTACCTCCACAACCCCACTTCTTAACATGAATCCAACTAGAAGAGTTCATGTAGATCACAGAAAGGTGTCAACAGACTAAATTATCTCACAGTAGTCACACCTCCTTAATTTACACCTACTCTCAGCTGGGAAAATTCAAGATTTATATATTGGGACTTACTGTGAATGTCAGTCACGAAACTGCTCAGCTTTGCTCCCAGAGTTATGCAAGTCTCAAAATCAATGGATTCCGGTCTCTTGTTTTGCCTGTATCTTCAAATGCAAAAAATTAACTGCAACACACAGTAAGGATGCACACAAGGTCACAGGAAACTATAAGGATGGCTTGAAATAATTGTTGGATCATTAGCAAGATTTGAAAGCAGCATTAGCGTGAAAAAAACTAATTAGAAAGAACCTTTCCTTATCCTGCCAGGAGTCTGACTGCCTCTAATGTGATGAAAGCAAGCAGGGTAGTTCCATTTCGTAAACACAGGGAGCAGAGACCAAGAAATACATGCCAAAAGGAGTGACTCTCTTAAAGAATTTTGAAGATTTGTAGAGCTGGTACTAAGAAGAAAAGTTTCTCCTGGAATTTCAGCTTGTGGAATCCAATTCTTCACTCAGAATCCCAGCTTTCGTTTTCTCTATAGAATAAAAGTCTTTAAAGCAGGGAATATAAAGCTCAGTAAATATAGAAAGTACAGTATAGTCACAATATTTAGTCATATTTCAGTCTAATATTTTCCATCTTGCATCAAGGAGGAATGTGACACAGCAGTAGAAAACTAGAAGTGCTTCTAGTACTTTCTAGTAAAATTCCAGCTTTGTAAACAGGAACATCGATTCTGTCTCTTTGACATTTTCTTCAGCATAAGAAGAACAGGCTTAAATCTCAACAAGAAAAAAACCTTTTTTTATATTATTTATAAAGATCCACAGGGAGATTCGGGAGAACAAAATAAGAAGATACTATATAACACTGTGTAGGTTAAGCTAACAAATCCAAGAATAATTGAGATTTTTCAGGTACATTTACATGCTTGAACCCAACAGATTTCAGTTCATAAATTCAAATCACCTTCCACCTACAAAATTAACAAAACAAGAGCCAAGAATCTGACCAAAGGGCGATAGCCTGTCTCTTCCCTGTCCCTCTGAGGACATGTTCTCTCTGCCCAGCTGACTTGCTCTGTTGCAAGGTCAGAAAAGGGATGTCTGTGACTGGCAATCCACCCAGTGGATTCCAGTATCTTCTTACATAAACACATCTTCTATCCTATGTCCCAGCAATGAAGGACAAAAAAAATTTAAAAAAAAAAATTAAAAAAAAAAATTAAAAAAAAAAATTAAAAAATTTGCATAGAATGGGTGGAGATTTCAAGATTTCTTTGGCAAATAAGATAGCATAAGTGGATTATGAATGGAAATCCTGTCATGCAAACCCTCAGCAAATGTAACAACCTCAAGTGTTGTGCCCATTATTCCATTAATGTAGAGAGCTTTATGGAGGATTTCTTACCATAAGTGTTTTTGACAAAACCTTTTTCACTTGTGCAAAAAAGAACCCCCAAAACATCCATGCTGTTTTACAGCTGGATAGATGAAGGCACAAAAGGGAACTCAAATCCCTGTCCCAAAGAGCTTGGGCAGGCTTCTTCCCCAGCAGGGATCACAGCAGGCCTGACAAGGCACCACACTTTTTCCCTCTCAAAACAAACCATGAAGAGCTGAGGCAGACATTCATTAGCCCACCCAACTGTGGAGGTTGTCCAGCCCTATTCAAGCAGGGCTGACTTTCTGCAGGCACAGCCCAGGGATCTCTGAGGCACTTCTGCATCACAAATTTGATATATGAGCTTGACTTCACAAGAGGTAAGTGTCCAACATACATCTGCAAACACAGAGGAATGGCAGCAGTTTCCATGGCAATCTTCATCTAAAAAGAGCTCTCTGTTCATCCATCCTGCTCCTCTCTGCCCTGTATCCCAGAAATGCATCTCTCCCTGAGCTTATCAGCCAGCTCACAACAGGAGCACATCAACATGCAGGGCCTTCTGCTTGCAGGATCCCCATGGGTCCCTGAGAGGGCAGAGGAGCCCTTGGGGACCTGCCTGAATTTTTCACACACAATGAACAATTACATGATGAAAGCCCCAGTGGGCTTGAGAATATATTTATATATATATATGTATATTTATATATTTTAACTGTGAGCAGTTCCACCTTCAGGTTCCACATTAGGATACAAAAACACAGTAGTCTTAGTAGCCAGGCTAAGGTCCTACTGATACAACAAACTCAAAGTGAGGTACAATCAGTGCCCTCACCACCTAAAGGCAGATCTCCACATGCCATTTCACTCACACTAGTGTCCATATTCTCTTTTCCTGCATTAGCAGGCAGTTCTAGCCACATGAAAGGTAAATAGAAAAGCCCTCCAGTGCCTGGTTATCTGAAGCTGTCATACACATACCTGTAGAAAGGTAGATCTGTGCGGGCAGGAGGAGGATAGAATCCTGCTCTGGGCTCCACCATGCACAGTGCAGCTCCTGCCATTGCACTTTTTGCAAGTTACTGATATGCTACCATGACTGTTTACAGAAAACGGGTGTCCAGGGATGAAAAATGTTGGTCTATCCCTCCTCTACAAAGTACATGGAGACCTGCAGAAGAAAATCTTGCTACATGTTAAAAAGTTGGTATCTTTCGTGTATCTGCAACCTGAAGTGTTTGCTCCCTTTCACATAAGGAATATGTGAACCCTAAGTAGGAATTAGTGTTTTATTCGTGGCATCCAAACCTATCACATTCTGATGAACCTGTAGTCTGTTTTAAAGAAAACCTGTCTTTTTTTTGTTGCTACTTCCATCCATGCAAGTGAAGTTTATGTCAGAGACCTCTTTCCTCCTGTAAGTCTCCTTTAACACCTCACCTTTCTTATATTAGAAATATCTCTTGGTCTGTTCCCTGCCCAGCTCTCAGGTCTCTTGCTTTTTGTTTCTAGTTATGTGAAGAACAAACACTTGGTAATAAATATTTTCTTGAGACAGGAACCAGTAATCTAACAATATAACCAACAATAAATCACAGCTGTAGGCAAATGTTTAGATACTAGTAATTAAGATAGCAAATCAGTTAGCTGGTTCCTTTTTTGAGTTCAGCACAGAGAAAATGAATAAAAATATAAAGAAAACCTCCCTCACCTTCCCATAGGACAGGATATTTACTCTAGTCAATGCTGAAACCTCTGTAAAGGTTACTGAGGAATTCCTTTGTCTCAAGAACTCGCCTTCCAAAACAAGGGCAGTACCTTTTGCAAGCACAAGTAGTGCCTGAGCTGGCACAAATCTAGGGTGCCAGATTTGGGTATATAATAATCTATACTGAGAGATAATGCTGAGTCACTTCACAATTAGCTACAAAGGTGTTGCTTGGGACTGGAAAAACAGGTACCTACTCTCAAAATAGCATATAAGATGTCAATTCCTTTAAATCATTAAAACCCCACAAACTAAAATCTCTCCAATTTTACTCCTTCCTACTCATCTTATGGCACTGCAGCTTCTATCCAGTTTTGATCTTTCAGACAGTAAAACTGCAGCTATTCTGGAAAATGTCAAAACCATTTCATTTCTCCTCCACTTTAACAAGGATAATACAGTATTTGCATTCTGTGCCATAATGACCTGAGCTTAAAACTTGCAAAAGAACAACGATAAATGGCAATTTAAATGCTTAAAAAATATGAACCTTTTCTATGATTTGTTTTCAAGTAAAAGGAATATTTGTTCCATTACTAAGTTTAAGAGTCCTCAATTAAGGACTAGAGGAACAAAATGCATGACCAATACCCACACTGAACTAAGAAAGTAAAAAGGAGCAGAAGCAGACCTTTGCCAAAGAGTGTTAAATATTTTTGAAACCCGAGATCTACCTTTTGCTTTTGAAAAGTTTTACTGTCCACGTGAAAACTGAAATGAAAAATGGGTAAAAAATAGGTTCCATATAGAACACTATCTATCCTTATTACTACATTTTGAGATTTAAAATTCCTCTGAAGATACCTACTAGAGAAATTAAATAGTTTTATTTAACAGGATGAAGTTTTTCTAGGCAACATGTATGCTGCAGCAGAATCTACACTACCCTCTCCCACTCACAAACAAGCTTCCCAGCCAAAAAAAAAAAATCCCTGTATATCCCAGGCTCTCATAAACAGGCAAGCTTGGAGTAGAAAAAGAGCTGCTTCTTGGCACTGAAGAATGCACTCCATAAAGGAGCATCCACTGAAAGGCACAGGAATGGAGGGAGAGTATGTCCCTCAGTGCAAAACTTCTCCTGGCATGACAAGAAGTATGCAGGGAAAAGAGAAAAATCTTAAATGCTACATCTTTAAAAAGGCACAAACACTTGTCTGCCCTCAGTGTCCTCTCTGCAGCATAAAAGAGAGCCATTTATATAGAGTTTAACCACAAACTACTATTAGCAAGATAAAAGCTCCACATAAGGTGGGGCATGAGTTACAGGGGAGAAATAGCAGCAAGAACAGCAGTAATAATCTGTGTAGGTTCAAAAAGAGTATATTGTGTAATCCTCTGAATTTTATACTTGAGGACTGTTCTACCAATACCCAGCACAAACCTTCCCCGAGCTGAACGTACCATCACGGGTTAACTTTCAGTCAGAGAACTTGCACTTCCAGAAAACAACTTCATGCTCTGCAATAGCTTGAATAACAAATTTACAGGCTCCTCAATCACCTCCACGTTACAAATTTGCATTGCATTTTGCTAAGCTAAATCTGATGACTCTGGCACAAGAGCTCCTAATGTGGTAATAACAGAAGCTTTTTACATTATGTCAGATTCTTCTGTGGTAAAAATTTGACACAGCTCACAGAGAAGCTCAGAACAGAAGGTGAATTGATTTTATTAGCAATGGACTAAGGTCTGACATTTTTCAAGACAAAACTGGAAGTAATTTTGGATGCAGAACAAAGTCTGTTGCCTGTAGTTGTCTCTCAAGCTTCCTTACTAGCTTATGTCTTTCTGCAGAGAGGTGGGAGGAACTGCACTCCTTTCAGACAAACTTGATCTTCACCTCTTTCAGAAATTGTCATAATTACTAATTATGATTGTGTGCATATCAGCATGTTTTGTTAGGAATGCTTTTTATTTAAAGAGATAGCTAGATTCCTACCTTATGCACTCACCTACACTCCAGTTCCATTAAGAAAGCAAACACACATTTTTCAAAACACCTGACAAAAATTTCTTGAGTCCCATTCCCTGGCAGCCAACACTTGGTAAATTGCCAGGTCATCTAAGCTTTGCACAGTCTGTTTTCTTTACTGACAATAGTTTATTTTTACATCAGAGAAGAAAAAAAAAGTCTTATTAAAATAAGTAGAATATAGGACTAGATTATTGGCCCTGGGCAGAAGGAAAAAAAAAGTGCATGATATCTCTGTATTTAGATGAGATACATAATTGTTCATGGCATTTTGATTGCTGACATTCAGTTTCACGTCAGGTTATGGGGGAAAGAAGACTTTGGTACAGAAAATAAAATATCCTCTTAAAACAGCTATTCTCTGCATCTAAGGTACTGACTCACAAGTTCCCTGGGCCATTTACATCTTCACTCAACCCTGCAAATAAAATGGTGTTCTTTGCAAGGTGTCTCCTTCGTGGGTTTTCCTCGGGAACAAGAATGGATTGGCTGTGACACTGAGCTTTGAAATACTGTCATTCTCAGGGTTCTGTAAACAAAAGGCCACGCCTTGGCAGCTCCCATTTTCTCTCCTTTGTTTTATTTCAACAGTAAAGCCAGACACAAGCTTATATTTGCCATGACACCCACTTGCCTGAAATTGCCTGTTCCTTCAAACTGCTGCTAAAGGGGCACATCTGGTTAGGTTCCTAGGGAAGGTGCTAAAATCTAGGGGTTTACATCTTGGGAAACGTGAACAACACACCACATTTCTTACTGGAAAAGCTAAGGATGTATTCTGTCTTGGAAGCTTACATGAAGCACAGCATGATCAGAAAACACTTTTGGACTTGACCTTCAGTAACTTTCAAATAAAATGATGAAAATTTAAAACATTGCAGCCTACAAACAAGAACGTGTGGCTGCCC